AGAACTTGTATATAGCAGAAACATGTGTAATCAGAATAAAGCTCCATCAAAGCTAAGCATGTTGACATGGCAGTGATTTCAATCACTGAGCTTCTAGCATATGATTAACTATTTCAGAGAAATCAGTGGAAGATTTTATTCTAGCAGTTTCATCCTCTTCATAAAAGGGATGCACGCCAAATAACTTCTCTGCTATACCTTGCGGTCAAGAAGTAAGCTGTTGGAACTCTGTGTCAAAATTATCATCGGAGGGGGGGAACCCTGCTAAACTGATCATTAGACAAACTCTTAGGAAGATACAAGTGGGAACCCTGCATATTTTGTTTGAATTTTTAAAGTATTTTTTTTAAAAAATAATTTTCCTTTTGAAAACTTGTATGATCTCAAAGCACACTCACAGGTCTTTTGTTTGGCAGTAAAAGAATTCCCCATTCATTTTTCAAAGGATGTCCAAAATACTTTGGTGCCTGAGGCAGAGTGGCAGATAGCCCCCTTCCCTTCAAGGCACATAGTACACAAGGCCAACCAAGTTATTTTGGCATGTGCAGCAGGAAATCCCACAAAACATCCTTTTTTGGCAGTCCTAGTCCATCATTCCATCCACTACACCAGGAGTCTCCAAACTTTTAAGCGGGAGGGCCACATCATGTATGCTCCACATCCCACCCGCCCACCAGGCCAGATGAAAAGGCAAGACAGGTTGGATGTGATCCCACGGGCCATAGTTTGGAGACCCCTGCACACAGGTCGGATGTGATCCCACGGGCCATAGTTTAGAGACCCCTGCACTACACCCTACTGGGTGTCCCTTTAGGACTCTTACTATCATATGCATTTTCATTTCTGTATTTTGCCATTGTCTTTTGTCAGTCAAGGTTTGCATGTTGCCAGTGCTTCAAGGAGTAATCGGGGAGGTGGAATAAAATACTAGACCCCATAAGCATGATTGGCATTGCATCAAGGGTAACCGATACAACAGCTGCAAGCACCAACATGATCACCTGATCTTGAATAACACACCTTCCCCTTCCATCATTCCTGGAGCACATTGAGGGCCAGGTAGGTAAATTTTAAAAAAATAGGACCAGATAGGTCGAGTGCATGTGTGGATGAGCTTCAGTTCTTAAGGACAAAATTACAACGTTTCCAGAAGCTACTTACATTCTAGATTTAATGTCACTGCTCTGATGATTTGCATGGAACAATGAGCACGGAACATGATTTACAGGGTGAGATGAGCGGTTTCACAAATGGTTCCCTGCTACATTCCTGCATTGATCAAGCTGCTATCAGTAATAGGAGCTACTGCCCTGCACACATGAATAACCTGTACCCACATCCGCTGAGTGTCACGTCACACATTTCACTGTTAGGTACATACCAAAGATCTTTATCAATAGTCCTCTTTCTACATCAGCCTGCCAGTGAGTTAATACAATAAAGACAAGCTCTACTCTAAGTATCTTGGACTGTCCAAGGGAAACAGCCTTCTCCAGTTATGGAATAACTCCCTTCCCCATGACAGATAACAAAGGTTGCAATTGTTTCAGTGTCAGGTCAAAAGCTTTCTTCTTTTTTAACAAGGCATTTTAATTGACCTGTTTTCTTTGATTTGTTGTTTTTTTTGAAACTTGTCTTTGTTCGATGTTCTGATACTTTTACTGTTTAATTATATTTTCTTGTTTGGTCCTATTGTCCTGGTGCTTGTAAGGGTGATGGCTTAAAAAAGGTTTTAATTAGCAAATGTGCGAAACATATATCCAGGTACCCTTCTTAGGGAATAGGCACTGACTGACAACATGGCGTGGTTATGAACATAGGTTTGTGATTACGTTTGTTTCATAGGAAATGTGCAAAATGGATTCTGTGTATTTCCACTGAATACACTGCAGTGAGGATGCTTTGTGTAATACAGCAACACATGGTGAGTCATCAGTAACAAACAGATGGCTGGTGTGCATTTGAAGAGGTGTTCTTTTAAAAAAATGACACCACCAAAAACAAAGGAAGATTGGGGAGGTGTGTCACTAGGCACATCTTGTCAGATGTTTAATTAGGCAAAAGAGACATCCCAAAATCTAATTGCTTCACTTTCTTCAGCAGCGCAGTCTAATTTAAAATTGCTGCAATAAGTGACTTTAATTTTCCTTCCTTCGTTAGGAAGACTTGGCATCTAAATTATAATTTACCAATCAAGGCTTAGCCAAGAAAAAAAAAGGAAATTGCTGTCTAGCAAGGTGCTAGTAGTTAAATGAACAGAAACAGGCTGTGTTTCTGTTCATATAATTAGTCACCAATTTAAGCTGTTTTCAGTGGTGTATTAGATATTATAGTGATGAATGTACACACCCATAATATTCAGAGGTTTAATACGGCATATAAATTACAACAAACAAGGAGTCTTAAGGGCAGCATTTGTGATGTCCCCCTTTTTGCAAACATTGAAATATAGTAGGATCCTCTTATCTATGGGATCATTGTCTGTTGATTCGCTTACAAAATGTATATTTTCATATCCATGGTCTGAAAATATTAACAATATTAAAACAAAAACCTCAGAAATATACATTTCTACATCATTACCAGAACTGGCCACTAGCAGGAGTCAGAGACCATGTTATGTATAGCATTCTCTATTTTAATAGTGTTCATTATAATCCACTTTTTCAGCATCTGCAGGGTGAGTTGGAACCAATCCTCCACAGATACGGGGATCCTACTGTAGTTATGACTCAGACAGAAATTGTTGTTAACTTCCTAATGAGCTTCTGAAATGTGGGCAAATCCACATATTTAACAACTATATCTTAGTCTCAACAAACGGAGTGGTAGAGAAATCACAGCCTCTCAAATTTTTTGCCATCCTTCCCACTTCATTAGAGTCAAAAGACCTTTGGCACAATGAGTTGATACAAGTTTCTTACTGCCTATTCATGGCAAGCTTAGCCTAAGTCTAATTTTTTTTTTCATACACAACTCACATTTAGAGAGTCACATACCTGGCTCAGCAGATAAAGAAGTGATTATTCCTTTAGCCAAAATCCAACTGTTAGGCCCAACAAAAGTAAACCCATTGAACAAACAGGACATACAGAAGTGTAGACTTACCACTCACCAATTGAGAAAATTCTAGCTGGGACTAGCAACTGAATTTTAGATTATAAAGATTCAAGATAATGCAATGTTGCACATATTTAAAACTACACGCACTGTATTGTTAACTAGATGCAGAACTGGTCATATTTCGTATGATTCTAGCAATTATGAGCAGCATCTTTAAATCCCATTTCCTTCAAGGGGAGCATGATTTAAGTGACCAATGGCATGCATATTAGCTTGAGATTAAACCACCAAACTGTCCAACAGTTCTAAAATGGATTTCATAGAACTGGCATCAAATAAAATGCAGGGAGTTTAGATGTATAGCAAACAATGAAATTCAATAGGTCTTGAAAAATATTTTGTTAAGTAGTAGCCCTTGCTAAGAGTTACAGATTTCTGGCTATCTAGGCCAGAGTCCAGAAACAAACATCCGTTGAGTTCCACTGCTTCCATGGGAATACACAACCCCCCCCCCC